CTACGTGTGGTTGTTTATAGGACGAACATGAGCATAATGAAACGAGCCATAAACACGGATGTGTACGTGTGTTACATGAGTTTTCAGACATGCAGCTCATTTTAAATACTGTCTCATCAGTTTTCACCAGATTAGCTCTGCAGTGGAATAAATGGGACTCAAAATTGAAAATGTTGAAAATGAAACTGTAGATGAAATAGTTAAAATATTCCTGTGCAGGATTAAAGGATTTAAAACTGGAGAGTCCACAATTTGATTAAAAGCCAAGAAGAAGAAGGGAGTCTTTAAAGTCCAAGTTGAAACCAGGGAAATAAATACATGACGTGTCTGTGCAGCCCTCCTCCCCCTGGAGTCACGTCCTCTGTGCTTTACAGCAAACAGCTTTTCCTCCACTGTAAATATAAATCCTTCACTCACAACAAGTGGATGTCAGATCATGTGCACTGAAACATTTGTGGCACGTTACTGTGGTGATCTCTGTTTAAATGACCTGTATCAGACTGAGGACACATCAGACGATGACAGATCAATAATCACCTCATGTTTCTCACAGATGGAACATTTCTGCTGTAAATCATTTAGTAGATTCTGTGAACCCGACCCTTCCTCTCCAGGTCGAGGTATTGATTTACTATATTACTATGGTCCGCTAATCAGTCTAGCTTGATATGAAAAAATAAAACTAAGGGTCATGCCTCTCATGAACTTAGAGACATTTAACTCAGAGCCATTGAGTTTCAGTGTTGCCTCAATCAGACCTGAGTGGTTTCATATTTATATTACTCACCTGTGTTGGCTGCTGCAACCCACTCCTCACCTGCACTCTGGGCTGGCCGCCCACAGAGACACTTGTGTTAGCTGATGCTAACAACAAGCTGCTCTCTCAAAGTTGACAATGAAAACCTCCAGAGCAAATGGACTGAAAAGTATGTATTTACTTTTCCAGCTGCAATGAGCAGTAAACCTGTGTGTTCATTGTGCAGCGAATCCATTGCTGTGATGAAAGAGTACAATGTGAAGAGACACTACAAGTTGAATCATGGCTCATTTTCTGGCAGTTTTCCCGAGGGCTCGGAGGAACGGAGGAGGAAAGTAAACGGACTGTTAGCATCTTTTCAACTAAGTCAGTGTTCCCTTGGTCGCTTTTGCCCAGAACAAGAAAGAGCCATGAGAGCATCTCTGTGTGTAGCATGGACACTAACCAGACAGAAGAGGCCCTTTACAGAGTCGGAGACTGTTAAAGATTGCATGCTAATGTTAGCCTGGTGGAGACTCTGAATCATCATCCCTCTGACGAGACGCACCTGTACAGGTGTTTGTAACTCTCAGCTGCTAACCTGTCGCAGCTTAGAGACAGAGTGTTTGGAGCAGCTTCAGCTCAGCAGTGATTTCTGTTTAAAAACAAACAATTAACAATTAAACTTTCCAACTTCCTCTCCTCCCTCTGCTCGCGCTCAGCGGGGAATTACATCACGTTAAAAGTTTCTCTTTTAGTCGTGGGGTCTGTGGGGAGGAGGGTCTCTGCCACGGCTCTGTGGAGCTCAGCGGGTTCAGAGCAGAGAGGTTGGAGGTTTAAATACCACTTGGAGCTGGTTCAGATGAATGATAATAATCAACAGGAAGTAGGAGCTGACAGGAACACGACACAGAGACTGTGTTCATCACACATTTCCCTGTTCTCCCCTGTATGTGTGGGCGTGTGGGCGTGTGTGTGGGCGTGGCCTCTTTCACCTGGCTCGACTCCACACCTGTGGTTGATCATCTCATCAAGCTCCCAGTTTAAAAGTGTTTACCCTGTCTTCTCACCTTTAGTTTCCTGTGACCACAACACCTGACCCCCCGCCCCACCTGCTTTATATCACACCTCACCTCCTCTGTGTCTGTTCTCCAACAGAAACTAAAACCACCTCAGTTCAGACTCAAAGTGTTGTGGTGAGCAGGAGCCTGAATCATGACGGTCAGAGCAGTGACCTCAGTGAGCGGCGTTAACCCTGTGGGCGCCGTCCTCGTTGTTAACCTGATGAAACCCTCTGCTGTCATGACGTGAGGATGTGTGGACGTGTCATCTTTATCTTCAGGTGTTGTCCCTGTTTGCTTCAGTCTCTGACTTTAGAAAGTAAAACCAGGAACCATTAGAACGAGGCAGATGATTGGACGATGACGATGCTCTACTTAAACTCAGACGTCCCACTTCATGCTTTTAATTTGCTGCAACACCAAAACTTCATTTATCAACGCTCCAAGGTTTCACATCGATCAGCTGATCCACTTCTCCCAGGCAAAGAGGTCAGGACACATTTCAGTGAGAGGGTCAGGCAGGAAGTGTCCCGCAGGTCACCTGAACAGGTGTGACCAACAGTCTCAGGCTGTGAACACAAACATGTTGAGGTTTAAAATCAGTTCCAGCTGCAGTCTGAACAGCTGACAGGAAACATTAACATATTAAAAATGAGAGGAGGAAATGAAGGAGTTCACACCTCCATGAAGAAAACAGATGTTGGTTATAAAATAGCTCCAGAAATCAACTCAATGTAACATGTAGATATAAAATAAAAGCACATATATTAATATTATATATGAAACCTTCTAGAAAATTTAACAATTTCATATATTGACACTTGTCTTGCACAAATGTTTATGTTTATATAATGTATATTATATTGTAGACAGATGATAGTAAATATGTCAGTATGTGTTTGTCATAAACAGAAGAGTAAAGAGTCTGAGACTGTTTAAATCAATAAGAAGTAAATAGAATTGTTATATGTATATTGTTTTAATAAACATCGTAATAAGTATCGTTAACGTATATGGTCAACATGTTATATAAATATAATACCCCCCCCCATGTATTTATCATGTTTGAGCAGTAAACTCTCTGCTGCTCTCTGAACTGAATATGACTCATGAATCTGTTTTTTGAATCCTTGCTGGGAGACATGAAGCCAGTCAATGAATTTGATCTGATTGATTGATCATGACAAGCCAATTACCACCTCTCTGACCCAGGGGCCCCATGTCAGTCATGTCAGTGGATGGATTGATTGGACAGTCATTACACTGCTACAGTAACATACGACGTCTCCAGCACTATATATGTATATATATACGTCCATATACAGTCACGGCCAAAAATATTGGCACCCCTGCCCTGAGAATTGCAGGGGTGCCAATATTTTTGGCCGTGACTGTATATGGATGTATATATATACACGCACACACATATATACTGTGTGTGTGTGTGTGTGTGTGTGTGTGTGTGTGTATGTATGTGTGTGTATGTGTGTGTGAGAGGGGCAGAGATGGACAAATGATGTGTGTTTAAATCCTGCCATTATAATCCCATTAGATCACCTCCACAGACTGTTATTAAGGGAGTCAGGGCTACTCATACAGAGAGGAGGAGGGAGGAGAACACACCACCACCTGAGTTTAGCTGAAACTAAATCTAATGCTGGGGATAATGATATTTAAAATTTATATATAGTCTCCAGTGTTTCTCACCGTTCTTTGTTCTGTGGTTTCTCTCTTTAAACCAGGAGATCCAGTGGAGCCTGAGGCCCCCCAGACCCCCCAGGGGCCCCGGAGCCCCCAGACCCCCCAGGGGCCCCAGATGATCAACAGCAGCCTGCTGGAGACCAGAATCCAACACCTGAGAGAGTGAGTGTGAGTTTGCAGAGCTGGTCCTCTGCAGTGGGTCTTAGGATGAGTCCAGGACTGTGGACAGATCGTTTAAACCAGGACTCTTCATATCCCACAACAACAGCCTGGAAACACAGAGAGGTTTTATATCCACAGATGAGTGGCTTTGAAGCTCAGAGTGAGCTGCTCTGTCGTCACCATCTTGACAGTACCTGACTCCGCCCCTAACTCGTAGCTAATGCAAAAATGGTCAGAGAGGAGGGGCGTGTGTCGAGCTGAGACTTCGGTGCATGTGCCTGTCACTCAAAGAGGCCACGCCCTCAATCCTCCATAACTGTAGGCCTTAATAAAATGTAAACAGGTGAGTTATATAAACAGGTGTCATGAAGGAGGAAATTAACTCTAGAGACCAAAACAGTTTTTGTACCAGGCTGTAAACATGTTTATTTCTGCTGTAAAGTTGGACATTTTAACATGGGAGTCTATGGAGACTGACTCACTGTTGGAGCCAGACTCTAGTGGTCATTAGAGGAACTGCAGGTTGTTGGCTTCATGTTTCAGCCTCTGAGACTCAAACCCACTGTGGCTCATATGAAAGGAGTCACTTGTACGTTTAGCTATTAGTTTAGCTATAGCTAACGTTAGCATTAGCAGGTGTTTACTCACCAGTCTAGAGGTACTTCATCCCTTCACTCACCAACATCTGTCACCAAGGTTGCCTCTCATCTACGTCATGTCTCTTCTACTGAAGACCGTTAGCATGCTAACCAGTAGCGACGTCAGCGCTCACTTGTCCAGAGTTCATTCATGTATCTCACAGTCATGTCCAATCACACCCGCAGGAAGTCTGTCCGTCTGTCTCAGTGAACAGAGGAACGTCAATGTTACTCTCAGGATCCGACCTCGTTGTGAAGCTACAGGCGACGACTGAGCGACGGTTCCTGGTGTATAAACTGTAAATTCAGATGGATAGACACAGTCACTGACAGACAACAACAACGTGAACAGATTATATTTGTGTCTGTTAACAACACCTGAGGAATTAACACGATGCATCAAACTCACTCTGCTGCTGTCAGAGGTCTGATTTATTCTTAGTAACTGAACCAAGTTTCCCTCCAGATGTTTCTGCTCAGTCTTTGACGTAGTTGAGTTTATTGTGAATCTGCTGTTTACACCTGCGGGGACACCTGCATGTTGCTCTGAGGACACGTCTCCACACGTTTTAATGAAATATATATTATAATCAGATGGAAGCTGCATTGTTGTCATGATATTTATAGTGTTCCTGTTTACTGATATTTACACAGAGTTTTGATTTGTTTTTTTATACTAGTAATGTATTATTAGTCTTTAAGATTTGCATTCATATCTCTAATTATTGTTGTTGCTGTTGTTTCTGAGATATATCTATATACATATATATTTTCCCATATTAGAAGAACTAATGACGTCTGCACTGTTTCACCTGTCCCCGTGATTCTCCTCCTCGCAAACGTTCTTTTTAAAATCATCTGTGATTTGAGACATTTCTGCAAAAAACCCCAAAACATACATGATGGGATGTAACGTTAATTTAGGGAAACTTTTCAAGAGGCTGGGTGTGCTTGGGTATAAAACGTAATATTCATCTCCTGTTTAAAGAGACGCAAAATCAGGTCGCCGCCTCCTTCTGCAGGTAGAAAATCCAGTGCCTTCGTATTCTTCTTCTTTGGTTATTTCGGATGGCTCTGCCTGATGCATGGATTATGATTCAGCTGCAATTGCAGTTACAAACGACAAATCCACCGAGTAACGAGAAAACAAGTACTAGAATTTTGTCAGGAGGCGGCACGAAGTTTGGAAGAGGCGGTCACATCCCAATTCTCTGCAGGAAAAACCCTGGTGTATGTATTTATATGTGTGTGTGTGTGTGTGTGTGTGTGTGTGTGTGTATATATATATATATATATATATATATATTCTGTGTAAAGTAATCAAAGTTACATTATCAACTATCAGCTAAAAATCTAAAGAATTATTTAAATGACCATTAGATGCAAATTTGTAAAACAACAAATCCACATTGTGTAGGTTTCTATGGTAACAAACAAAAACAGTGTAAATACAGTAGAGGAATATTGATATATGAAGGTGTTTTGATTTCTCTGTGGCAGGAATTTAAACTTCTGGATACTGTAAAAATCAAATGAAGCTTGAATCTTTAGAAGAGACATGAAAAATAAACAAATAAATAATCGAACCCACATGAAATCAAAGCCTGTCAAATTTAACGAGTTGTCAGATCTTAAAAAAACTATAAATCGTAAAATATCAAACAAATGACGACTTTCCCTCATAACTCCACCAATAACAATGATGAATTATAAATGTTGACGCAGGAGAGATGGAAAACAAACAGACGAACATCTGGATGAAATCATCACAAACAAACAGCTGCTCAGAAAAGTCAGACACGTTGTGATGTTGATTGTTAACAGGTTAATTAAAAGATGCAGCAGAGGAAGAGACAGAGATTCATTTCTCTCTGATTAACATAATGACCCAGTGATCTCGTTATCAGATGAGTCATGAGATCACTGTAGTTCATGAGAACAGGCTCCACACAGTCTGTAACGTTCCTACAGGAACCTGTTCTGACGCTCTTCCCCTTCCTCTTCCTCTTCCTCCTCCTCAGTTTGTTCTGCAGGAGGAGATTTCATCAGAGTGGAAACGTTTGTGAGGAGAAATGAAAAACACGGAGAAATCAATAAATCATCAGTTCTGAGAATGATGACGGCCTGAAGTCGTGTTTTCTCACACAGAGTCAAACGTTGTGAAACACGATAAAATGTGTGAACCTGAACACAACACTGAGCAGGTGAACTGCTGCTCACAGATAAAGGTTAGCTAATCAATGACGATGATGATGAAACGAGTGGAACCAGATGTTGGTTTTACTTTCATGGATTTTCTAGATCAGATGGAAACGTGAAGTCAGAGACGACAGGAGAGAAAACAGCTGACTGCTGACAGCAGCTGAAACACAGAGGCAAACACCTGTGACGGAGCGAGAGACACAGGAAGGAAGTCGGACGTCCTCAGCTCCACCTTGTCAGTCATAAAACCTCGTGGGGGAGGGGGAGGGGACATGGAGTCAAACAGCAGAAACATCCTCAGAGATCAAAGTGGCTGAAGATCTGTCATGTTCAGCAGAGGGAGGAGCCTCTTGTGTAAAAACAACCACACAGACATCCTGCTTCCTGCTGCCAGTCATGTGACCTGCTGCTTCAGTACAGGTCACATGACTAAACCAGACTACCTGCTGCTCCACTGGAGTTCATCTAAAATGTCTGTCTCTCTGTCTCTCTGTCTGTCTGTGTCTCTCTCTCTCTCTCTCTCTCTCTGTCTCTGTCTGTCTCTCTCTCCCTCTCTGTCTGTGTCTCTCTGTGTCTCTGTCTGTCTGTCTCTCTCTCTCTCTTTCTGCCTGTGTGTGTCTCTGTCTGTCTCTCTCTCTGTCTGTCTGTCTCTCTGTCTCTCTGTCTGTCTGTGTGTGTGGGACAGATGTTGAACAACATTAGAGGAACAAGACTCTTCCATGTCTTACATCTGATTTCTAGTTTCTATTTCTCAGTGAAATAATCAGTGTTGGTTTAAAGTGAGACTGGTGATGAAGCAGATTCATGTTTCATGTTCATGTGTGAGAGCTGGAGCTGTGAGACGATCAGAGCAGTGAAAGGTTTTAATTGTCTGAACGTCACCTGAGGAAGATCAGTGACTTTTAAACCACTCACCTGCGTCTGTCCTCCCTGCAGGTCTGCCTGTCGCCGCCTCGGCTCAGACGTCTTCCAGCAGCTGTATGAGAACCTGAAGGAGGCCAGGCGGCGGCGGGAGGTTGAGGATGAGGACAGCGTCACCGAGGACGCTCCAGAGGATGAACCTGATGTGGGCTTCCAGGTGGACCAGCTGCTGTTCCTCGAGGGAGAGCTGCAGAGAGTGAGACGGCTGCAGGAGTACACACCCCCAGTCTGAAAAACTTTATTTAAACAACTCATCATCACAAAGAACATTTCTTACTTTACAGGTAAACTGATCAGAGCTTTCTGTATGTGCTAGAAGAATTACATTAAACATTTACAAGGGAAGTGAATGAATTTTTCCCCTGAAGTCGAAGCTGAAATAAAGAGATTTGGAGTGACGGTGTTTCCTGCTGCTGCTGAAAGACTCCACCTGTCTGATCCGAGTCCTGACAATACGAGGAAGCTTCCTGCTGAGATCAGACACACTCACAGAACCAGGGTGTGTGTGTGTGTGTGTGTGTGTGTGTGTGTGTGTGTGTGTGAGCGTGAGCGTGTGCGTGTGCGTGTGCGTGTGTGTGTGAGCGTGAGCGTGTGTGTGTGAGCGCGCACCTACGCCGCCTCTTTGTATCAGGATCTTTGTCTCCTGACATTCACATGAACATCATCAAGAACTCCAAGCAGCTGAATCTGTTGCAGCTGGAGTCAGAACATCTGGATGTGATCTCAGTCCACAGCTGTCACTTTAACGTGTTCAGGTGTATGAGATGAGGGACGATAGATTGAAACGCGATGTTATTTTGATAAACGGGACTTCACTGCCTCTGATCGCATCACAACTGACTCAGGTGTCAGTCATGCAGATGTAAATCAAAGCAGCTGTTTACAGTAACATTTCACTCTGTGTGAAGCTGTAAATATAATTTGATGCTTCAGTTTTCTTCAGTTTTACCTGCAGATGAAAAACACCATGTCGTCTCTGACCTCTCCCTCCTCTTTATAACTCGTTATTTCCTTATTTAGATGTGACACTAAACACTAATAAAACATCTGTAAACTCAGTGTTTCCGTCACTGTTAGCATCTTTTCAGATGAACAGATATTGTAGTTAGCATCAGAACAATTAGCTAGTTAGATTGTTTTCGTAAGGGTTAGCTAATCAATATCTTTTCACAATGGTTCGCTAGTTAGCATCTTTTCAGAACTGTTAGCTAGTTAGCATCTTTTCAGAACGTATAGCCAGTTAGCATCAGAGCAGTTAGTGAAGTTAGCATTTTTTCAGAACTTAAGCCAGTTAGCATCTCTTCATAACGGTTAACTAGTCAGCATCTTTTCTGAACTGTTTGCTAGTTAGCATCTTTTCAGAACGGTTAGCTAGTTAGCATTTTATCAGGACAGTAAGTTAGTAAGCATCATTTCAGAAATGTTAGCTAGTTAGCATCTTTTCAGAACTTGTAGCACAGTTAGCATCTTTTCCGAACAGTCTGTGTAGTTAGCATTGTTTCAGAACAGTTAGCATAGTTAGCGTTTTTTATTTGTTGATGTTGTTTGTTTGCTTGTAACTGGCAGTGGCTGACACAGTGTTAGCAGTTGTGCTAATGCTAACTCTCTCTCTCTCTACTGACAAGGTTTCAGGTGTATTTAGCCCCGCCCCCACAAGCTTACAGGATTGGTTCCTGAGTTTTGTGACATATGAAACCCTGAATCTGTGTTTATGAGACTGTCATCGGTTCACTGCAGTTCAAGGTGGAAACACTCAGTCATGGAGTTGATGATTATTCCATCATCATGTGTCTGTATTTTATAAAAACATCACATGGATGCTAACATGTTGATTTTCATCAGAGGATCTTTAACTTGTTAAATTAGCCTTGTTTGGCTCGACAGCATCTTTCTGCTCAGGCTGAAGTTCAGCTGCTCTCATGATGTTAAAACACTTTGTTTTTTGTGTGTGACATCTTCACATGAGTCAATCCTCCAGATAAATCCTGACCCCGATTATTTCTTCTGCCCCAGAAGAGTTTGGTTTCACCTTTTACTTGGTGAGGTCAGAATTTAAACTACGTGAAAAGAGGATCCATCCCGTCAACGCTTCAGGCTGTTGCTGGTGTAATGGGGTGGGGGATATTTTCTCAGGACACTTTGGCCCCTCAGCACCAACTGAGCATCGTTTAAACGCCACAGCCTACCTGAGTGTTGTTGCTGACCATGTCCGTCCCTTTATGACCACAGCATACCCGACTTCTGATGGCGTCTTCCAGCAGGATGACAAGCACGTCACAAAGCTCACATCATCTCACTCCAATAGAGCAGCTTTGAGATGTGGTGGACGAGCAGCCAACAAATCTGCAGCAGCTGCCCGATGCTGTCACGTCAATCTGGACCAGAACCTCTGAGGAATGAGTCCAGAACCTGTTGAATCTGTGTCACGAAGGATTAAGACAGTTGTGAAAGAAAAGGGTCAAGCCGGTAGAAGGTGTCCCAGTGTATAAAACTATAGAACAGAATTACAGTAGAAAGTTTGTTTCAGAAACAGCTTCATCATCTGAACTTTAGAAGAACGTAGACTAACAGTGAGCGGGTTTTACATTTTTATTCATCTTGAACATTTAAAACAGTTGATACATTTAAACTTGATTTGGTTGGTTAAATGAACATATACATCATTCAGGAACAGCCCCTCAACATGTCTGTGCACGTCTCTGACTACATGCATGTTAAAGTTACATAATGAACTGATCTCACTTGTAGGAGAGGGGAACTCAAAATGGTGGGTGGTCTGTTCAGGCTGACATGAGAGAAAAACTATTTACTTCTGTATATTGATTCATCTCATTCTATGTGGCTCTCAACCATCTGTAGAAGTTACTGATGGTGTTAAAAAACCAACGGCACCGTTCGCAAATCATCCAAACTCTGATCATTAGATTCAATAACCAAGATCTTTTCTCATAAATCAATCGTCCTCCCTCAGAGACTGAATCTATTTTGTCAAACAGCTCTTTGACCTGATCCCTGTCCTCCATGTTTTTGTTGTTGAACACCTGGTACTGGCCGCTGCAGTTCTTCAGCAGCTCTTGCAGGTTCTTGTCTTCTCTGATGAACTGAACAATGTCCATGTCTTCCAGTCGGTCTCCGTAGGTGAACAGCACCACGGTGTGTTCAGAGACATTAGGACTCAGCATCTTCTCCAGAGTCTTCAGACCTTTCTGTTCCTGTTCAGTGAATCTTCCGAGCTGGATGGTGAGGAGGAAGACGTGAGGACCTGGAGAGCTCAGCTTTAGTGCTTCTTCCAGCTGTGCCTTCACCTGCTCCTCAGACAGCTGAGAGCTGAAGAGTCCGGGGGTGTCGACCACAGAGACTCTGCGACCCTGAACATCACCTTCTCTCTTCTCACAGCTCAGCGTCAGAGGTGAGGAACTGAACTTACAGTCGAACTCCTTCTTTTCCAGGATGGTGTTTCCTGCTGAGCTCTTCCCCACTCTCTCCTGCCCCACCAGCACCACCCTCAGGTCAGAGCTACACCCTGAAAACAACACAGGTGATTAGACGTGACAGTGTGAGATACCACCTGACCACCAGGAGTCAGAGCACTGTACTTTCAACACATCAACAGTCATTCATCCATAATGTTCCAGCCTGTTACTTAAATAACTGTGGTGATCAATAATGACCCAGAGTCAGATTTTCATCTGAAACATTTATGTTTATTAAAGTGTTAGAAGACAGATGAATCACATGGGGATATATGAACCAGCACCTCACTTCATTCTTCACATCACCTGATCTAACCTATAATAACCTAACTTTATTAAAACATTTGTTTCCTCTTTTTGATTAATGCATAATTCAATAAAACAAGTGCAGAGTGTCTGGAGTCTGTTACAGCTTCTATTACACAGTATGACATGTAGATTGTTTTACATCAAAGAGTTAGAAAGTGTCCCATTAATGACATGATGAATAATCAATAATGATTAATGAAGATACTCATGATCTATGAAAAGCAGAAAAAATAAACGTGATCAAATAAAAGATTAAACTGTTACCATGACGATTCCCTGTTATGAGCTGCAGCTAATAGATCATTAATATTGAATATCACTGTATGATGCAGGCCTTCTTCACTACCACAGCTGCAGCTCCTGCTACAGCTCCCACTGCAGCTCCCACTGCAGCTCCAACATCAGCTCCAACAGCAGCTCCAGCAGCAGCTCCAGTACCAGCGCCCATTAGAACCGCCTTAAGAAACGAATTGTCTTCCTCTGCCTGTCTTCTTGTTTTTGCGCAAGCAATATCTGGATTTTCTCTCTTCAGATGTTCCATTTCTTCTCTTATGGCTCTCTCAGCTGCTTGGAACATTTCATTGGTGTAGCAGCTTCCTCCATTTATCTGAACAATAATGTTGATCTTTGTCACCAGCTCAGTAACTTGATGGAGATCCATGTGTGTGTTGTTGAATACATGGTAACCTCCATCACACTGTCTGATGAAGTCACGGAGAGGCTGATTCTGACTAATGAATGTCTCTATGGAGACTCCCGCCTCCTTCAGGTCGTCTCCATGGGTGAACAAGGCCATAGTGTAGTTTCTTAACTTTTCTCCAAACATCTCCTGAAGGATTTTCACTGTTTCTTGTTCTTCTTTTGTGAATCTGTTCAGCTGGATCACGATCAGGAACACATGAGGACCAGGAGCAGCAAGTGAGATGGCTTTAGCGATCTCTCTGCTCACCTCCTTGTTAGATTTCCTTGTGTCAAACAGACCTGGAGTATCAACAACAGCCAGTCTTCGACCAGCAACATTTCCTGTTTCCTTCTGACACGTTGTTGTCAGTGAGGACGAAGACATCTTAGATTCAAAAGCCTTCCTCCCTAAGATGGTGTTTCCCGCTGCGCTCTTCCCGACTCCAGTTTTCCCAACAAGTACAATCCTAAAGTCTGATGGTTCCTTTGTCTCTGTTGGAGAATTTCAAAAGACATTACTGATGTTGTAAAGGACAAACTTTAATTCACAATTATCCCACTGTGTCTCTGTCGGCATCACTCTCATAAAACCCTGAAACAACCAGGTGTTACCTTCAAGGCCCAAACTGAGCGACAGAGCAGATGAACAGTCACAGCCACAGTAACGTGCTGCTGGGACGTACCAGCAGAAATATAAGAATTAATATTAAAGACACACATTATGTGTCTGTATGTCAGGTGTAAACCACACAATGAAAATGTTGTGTAAATGAAATGATGTTTTCAGCAGGTGGCGCTGTGAACATGACATCATAGTAACATGCAGATGTCTTCAGTGTGTGACTGTCATCAAACATGTGAGGTTTGAGGCTGTATATCATAATTACAGCAACTTCCTGTTTCACCAGAGCCACGCCGTTTGACGTTCCACAAAGAAACATCATGAAGATGAAGGTGTTCAGAATTATCTGATCAAGTCTGGGACAGATAGAACAAGGTGTAATAGAGTTTTAATAACTTCCTGTTGCAAAATTCACCAGAGCCACGCCCTTAAATGAAAACTCATGATTTTCACAATTAATCATTATCAAGGTCTGAAGTATTTTCTGACCAAGTTTGAAGTGGCTCCTCTGGGTCTGACACTGTAAGTCAATAGATCTACAGTATCACTGCTCATCATTAGGGCACGAGTGGATCCGACTAATTACATGTGTGAATTCCATTAAATCAACATGTTGTTCAGATTCTTTTGTCTTTCAGCTGCAGCCCCATCAGTGAGAATCAAACCAGCAAATGAAAAATATAAAAACATAATTCAAATGAACCGCTGTTGTGACCCTGAAACTCTGATTTAACTCTGAAGCAGATGATTTTAATCATGAGACGTCTGGATCTGAAGTTATCGGAGAATCAAGCTGAGGAAATGTTCGACAGCTCAGCTCCACCTGTCCTGAGTCTGCAGTCACCTGTCTCTGCTCTGTAGTCATCACTGTGGTCTGGCGCAGGGTCCCGCCCACAGCACCATCTGATTGGTTAACATCACGAGAAACAGCCTATCACGCTAAAGGCCGCCCTGAACACAGACGGTCACAGACTGGAGCCGGAGCTGAGTGTCGGAGGTGAAACAGTAGACATCCCTGAGGCTGTAATAAACATCTCAATCCTCTACAGTGAAGTTACAACAACACCACACTCTGATGAACAAGTTCACCTGTTGATTATATAGCAGGGTTTTCCCCTCGCGCCGAACGGCCGGACATTAAAGCATTTCCATCCGGCTACTCTTTCCCTCCTGACGTCATGTGTCTGTCGGAGAAACGTGGATTTCTAACGTGAAACTACGTTATTGTGTTTTTACTGTTTTGATCAGGTCCGATCTCTGCGGAGCAGTTTTTACAAGGACCCCAACTCTACATCCGGTCTGTGTGTCTGTCTGTGTCTGTGTGTGTGTGTGTGTCAGCGCCAACACACGCACACACACACACACAGTCACACAAAGAGTTTTTCTAAATAATAATAAGATTCATAAATGAATTTACCAAGCTGAAGATATGCCATATCTGTCTTTTACAGGCGGAGGATGTTTCGAGTCTTGTTGCTGCTGAAGTTCAGTTGGTGAATAAGTTCAGTTTCATTTCTTCTCTTTTATAGTCTGTTTCCTCCCTCCCACACACACACACACAGACACACACACACTCACACATCTCCACATACAGATTCAGTATCAGAGTCACCTACGTGTGGTTGTTTATAGGACGAACATGAACATAATGAAACGAGCCATAAACACGGATGTGTACGTGTGTTACATGAGTTTTCAGACATGCAGCTCATTTTAAATACTGTCTCATCAGTTTTCACCAGATTAGCTCTGCAGTGGAATAAATGGGACTCAAAATTGAAAATGTTGAAAATGAAAATGTAGATGAAATAGTTAAAATATTCCTGTGCAGGATTAAAGGATTTAAAACTGGAGAGTCCACAATTTGATTAAAAGCCAAGAAGAAGAAGGGAGTCTTTAAAGTCCAAGTTGAAACCAGGGAAATAAATACATGACGTGTCTGTGCAGCCCTCCTCCCCCTGGAGTCACGTCCTCTGTGCTTTACAGCAAACAGCTTTTCCTCCACTGTGAATATAAATCCTTCACTCACAACAAATGGGTGTCAGATCATGTGCAATGAAACATTTGTGGCACGTTACTGTGGTGATCTCTGTTTAAATGACCTGTATCAGACTGAGGACACAAACAGTCGTGTACTAAAGTGTACTCCTCTTCCTGCCTGTTCCGGACACAAGTATTTCTGGATGTGGCAGGACTCAGAGTTGTATTTAAAGTCGGCTGTATAAAGGGTGAACCAGAACAGACCCCTGTGGAGCCCCAGTGCCGCTCAGTTACCCAGCCTGACGTACTGTGGTTGTCTTGTCAGGTAATCCACAATCCAGGACGTGAAGTAGGGCTCCACCCCCATCCCTTCCAGCTTGTCTTTAAGAGTGGGGGTTGGATGGTGTTAAATGCACTTGAGAAATCAAAGAACATAATCCTCAAGCGACTACCCGGCTCATCCAAGTAAGAATGGGCCGGTGGAGCATGTGAAGGACGGCATCATCCACTCCAATATGATCCTTGTAGGTGAACTGTAGAGGGTCTAGTGCTGTTCAACCTGTGGCCTCAGAAGGTGGAGAGGCAGCCGCTCCAGGGTCTTCATGATGTGATGTGAGGGCCACCGGTCTGTAGTCATTTATCTCAGCTGGTACTTTAGGGACCGGAACGAGACATGATGCTTTCCACAGGACCGGGACCCTCCCTGTTTGAAGGCTTAAGTTGAAGATCCTCTGGAGAGGCTCAGCCAGCTGGGCTGCACAGTCCTTTAACAGCCTGGGACACACACCATCTGGGCCTGTTACCTTTCCAGGACGTAGCCTCTTGAGCTCCGCCCTCACCTCCTCCGCTGTAAAGGACAGGAGACTTGACCCCAGTGCGGAGGGAGCTGCAGCTGCAGTGTCAGGTTGTGGGGGAGATGCTGTAGGAGAAGCTGCAGCTGAAGCAGTGGGAGAGAGAACAGGTGAGGCTGTGACACACCTGTTGTAGAACAGGTTGAACTCATCCACATCACCTGGTGTTGCCTGGCTGTTCTTCTCTTTATAGCCAGTGGTGGTCCTCATCCCTTTCCACACCTCTCTGGTGTTGTTGTGCTGCACGACTGTTTTCATTAGTGACGGCTACAGTAGACATGCTAACGTTAGCTAACCTGCTGTTACCCTTATTATGAATGTGTTCGACAAATGTTGCTATTGTGGCAAGGAAGCAAGGGTTAAATTTAGTTTTACAAGAATCCAACAACACCACCTAGGGGAATTTCACCCCAGGAAATTTGTAGCAGGTAAAACCACACGGATATCCGACAGGAAAAGGTCACAAAGGTTAGAAAAACACTCGAGCAGAGATGTGCTTCCAAAAATAGACACATTTTCATTACAAAAATTTATTGTAAAAATAACATGTTGCAGTAAAAATAAAATTATCGTTTGTTTCACTGAGATGAAAATGAAGAACCTGACAGTGATCTCACACACACACACACACACACACACACACACACACACACACACACACACACCACACCCAGCGTACTGTGAAAAATATTTAGTCTCTAATTACACTTCAGCTCATATAAGAGGAGTTTCTACTCGTCCCCTGGTGAATTATGGTGAGAGTAATTAACACACACTGGTTAACTGTGTGTATGTGTCTTTGTGTGTGTGTGTGTCTTTGTGTGTGTGTTGTCATCATCACTTCTCATCTTCATCACCTGGCTCCACTCCCACACTGTGTTGATCATCTCATCAAGGCTCCCAGTTCAAATTGTTCCCTCACTCGTCTCCAGACGGTTCAGACCTCAGATCAGACAGCAGCAGCTGTCTACTCGCCTTCACAGTACCTCACAGTTAGTACTTTAGTACACGAGTGAAGTATCAGTCAGTCTGAGTGTGGAGCTGAGCAGAGGCTGTACTCAGGTGAGAGAGGAAACACCTGAGGTTGATCATAGGTGAGGCAGGTAGCGCTGAATCATGGCGGTCAGAGCAGTGACCTTGGTGAGCGGCGTTAACCCTGTGGGCGCCATCCTCGTTGTTAACCTGATGAAACCCTCTGCTCTCATGAAGCTCATCTCTCGCCACAGATTGCTCTCGGTTGCGTCACCGTCGCCACACAGTCTGTCTGAACATCTGCTCACATGAAATTGGGTGAGAGGGAAAAAAAGCTGCCATCAAGATGCTCTGCACCGTTTTCTTTTAAAAAGCCTTTCCCATCATCGAGAGAGAGGACAGCAGCGGCGGCGGCGGCCTGAGGCGAGCACATCAAACATTCCTGTTCTACAGGACGGACACCTGCTGCAGCCTGACGCTCGCTCTGATTCCTACACTGACGCTATCAGAGCTGCTGACAGAGCGAAGGATGAAGGAGGAGGAGGAGGAGGTGATCTGACTTCAGCCTGCAGGTCGCATCATTATTCTGCTCTTCATCCGTCCTGAAGCAACTTCCTGTCCAACAACATCCTGTTGTTTGGTTCAAAACTTAGAGAGAGTTTCCAGCTGAGTTACATTTCAGAGCTGCTCTTCTCTCTGACACGACATAAAAAAACTCTGTTAAATCCTCTGCTGTGATTCAGATTTAGTTTCACATGTTTCCATCTCCTCTTACTTCCTGGTTGATAAATATGGATCAGGCCTGGAGCCCCGCCCACCACCTGCTGGCTCCAGGTGGACAGGTGAAAGAGCAGAGAGTATGAAGATGCTCAGAGGAGGAAACACCAGAGAGACTCAGCCACATGTTGGAGCCTCAGTCAGACCCAGACTCAGAGGAGGAGTCTGTTGAGACCAGAACCAGAGACTAGCAGACGGATCAGAACCTGAACGACCCAGAGGAGCGTCTCCTGAAATGGTGGGTGTACCTCCCTCTGTCGCCATGGTTACTGTAAAAATGATCGTGTCTTGGTGAGGTTTAGGAGAAGATTTAGGTTAAAATAAGTTCTTCATCAACATCAGACAATCTTTGTTGTCATGGTAACAACAATAACAACGAACAGTCACACATAATAGAAACAACATGGGAATTGAACACCGCTCTCCATCCACCACAATCTCCTCCTCACCTGATGTGTCTCTTTATACTGCGTCACCTGTGGAGCTGTGAGGTCACAGTGTCTGTAATGTTCACCTGAGGCAATGTGATTGGCTGTTACAGCTGTGAGTGAGCCAATCACTGTAAAGCACTCGACCTCAGAGAGGTTAATGACGTTTAGTAACACTTCCTGTTTTCTCCTGTCAGCTGATGTCAATCATGTAATAAGCAGAGACCTCCAGAGTCTGTCTGCTCTGTGGACGTGATGACGTGAGGACGTGTCACCTTTATCTTCAGGTGTTGTCCCTGTTTGCTTCAGTCTCTGACTTTAGAAAGTAAAACCAGGAACCATTAGAACGAGGCAGATGATTGGACGATGACGATGCTCTACTTAAACTCAGACGTCCCACTTCATGCTTTTAATTTGCTGCAACACCAAAACTTCATTTATCAACGCTCCGAGGTTTCACATCGATCAGCTGATCCACTTCTCCCCCACAGCTGATCCACTTCTCCCAGGCAAAGAGGTCAGGACACATTTCAGTGAGAGGGTCAGGCAGGAAGTGTCCCGCAGGTCACCTGAACAGGTGTGACCAACAGTCTCAGGCTGTGAACACAAACATGTTGAGGTTTAAAATCAGTTCCAGCTGCAGTCTGAACAGCTGACAGGAAACATTCACATATTAAAAACGAGAGGAGGAAACGAAGGAGTTCACACCTCCATGAAGAAAAAGGAGGTTGGTTATAAAATAGCTCCAGAAATCAACTCAATGTAACATGTAGATATAAAATAAAAGCACATATATTAATATTATATATGAAACCTAGAAAATTTAACAATTTTATATATTGACACTTATCTTGCACATATGTTCATGTTTATATAATGTATATTATATTGTAGACAGATGTTAATAATAATGATCTGGATCCGTTGGAGGTGTGAGCTCTGCTGAGTGACATTCAGGTTGGAAAGTGCAGACAACTTTTTGGATGGGACGTGTGTGTGTGTGTGTGTGTGTGTGTGTGTGTGTGTGTGTGTGTGTGTGTGTGTGTGTGTGTGTGTGTGTTCTGGTCAGCCTCCAGCACTCTGTCTGTGAGCGTCAAAGGTCAGCAGAGTTTATTCTGTGTCTGAAATGTCTCTGAAAGGTCGAACAGCAGCGACACAAACTGTGACAAACAATCACTAACAGCTGATCATTAACCACAGGAGACACACACACACACACACACTCACACACACTCACACACACACACACATACCTGACACCACATCAGTCTGTCTCACCTCTCAGTTAACTTGATGAGGAGAAATCATTTTTATCTTATAGCTGCCTAGATAAATATGATGTACCGTTACTGTGATAGTGTAACTACAGGAAGTACTTAAGTACTTTTACTTTGTTACTTAATTAAAGGAAGTACTTTTACTGTGGTACTTAACTACAGGAAGCACTTTTATTGTGATAGTGTAACTACAGAAAGCACTTTTCCTGTAACAAAACAAACATTAATTAAACCTATAACATCATTG